CCACCAGCTTTGTTCACAGCTGAGTCTTAAGGCCCAGAAATGGCTGAAGTGCAGATAAGCGCCGGAGTCACTTGCCCACTTTGGGGCACTCGGTGGGGAGCGGGCACCTTGGTGGACTCCCCAGGTGTCCAGCCCTTCCCTGGCCCTGCGATCGTGCCCTCTCCTGGGCAACGCCAGCCTGTTAGTCTTTCCTAGAGGAGTTTGTACATCTGCTCAGCAGATACCTGGTGCACTGGGCCACCGGGGGACTACCCAGGCTCAACTCTTACTAGCCCTGGGCTGGGCCCCTCGTTCCTGTGGTGCACATTGTGTAGTCCCTCAGAAGGCTGTAGGGCAGAGTCCAGCTGTCCACGATGTGGCTTTTTTTAATGCACACTTTTTCCGTTTTCATTCTCTCTCCTCTCCCTAGTCTTCCCAAGCTCCCCTTCCTCGCTCTGTCTCTGTCTGTCACTATTGTTCTTTCTTCCTTTCATTTGGTCTCTATTTATTTTTTTAAGACAGAATTTCACTAAGCAACTCAGGCTGGGCTCAAACTCACTATCCCCCACCCCCCCACCCCCGCCTCAGCCTCCCCAACGCTGGGATTACAGGCAATTTACCACAGTGCCAGGAAGTCACCATGACATGTACCACACAGTGCCAGGGACTTGCCTTGCCGCTTACCAAAGCACTAGGTGGTTACCCTGCCGTCTCTCTTACCAGCTGCTGCCCCCAGCCTTTGCCATGGGATCCAGTACTGAGTCTCTGAGCCAAGATGTAACCCACCTTAGGGTGCACGAGAGCCTGCAGAAACCCGGAGAACTGACTTGAGGCCACACTCCCGGCCATCTGAGAGGGACTCGGCTTCCTGGAGAACCGAACGGGTACAGACAAATCCTGCAGCAAAGCCGTGCTTCAGCTGTGACAGTTTCTTACCACAGGGGGGGGGTCGGTGCTAGCCTCCCTCCAGATCTCTCCAGCCCGGGCTGCAGAGTCCAGAAATGCATGGACACTTCTGGAACACCGGCACTATTCATTATGCTTAGCTTTCATTCTGGCTGCGGACACCTCTCCACTGGAGACAGCAGCCTCATCTCTCCTGGCTTTGGCTGAATACATCTTGCTTGGTGCTGATCTTGGTCCCAGGAGCAGGGTGGGGTGCCGTCTGGACTCTCCCCCCCCCCCCCCGCTGGACTCTGATGCAGTGGCTGACAGTGTCTTTACAACGAGAACGCAGGGGCGCAGCACACATTCCCATACAGCAGCAGGCTCCCAGTGTTCTGAATCAACCTCTAAGTTTGGCCCTCGGGACCTGGCTCTTCACCTGCCTCCCTAGCAATTCCCCAGATCACTCTGCCTCTTCCTCGTGCACTGGGCGTTGGTGCATCCCCTGTTAGCTGTGACTGCACTAGGCACACACCCTTGCTATATATGGTTTTACTGAGAGAAACATTGGTGTGAACTTGCCCTGGTGTCTTGGGTGGTCCATGCCCAGAGTTGGCAGCCCTCCCCTGAGATGGGCCATAGAGTCAACGCTAAGTTTTTCAGGACTCCTGCCTCTGCGACATTAGCTCTGCCAAGGCGCGAAAAACCACACGTATGACGGGTGCCGTTGTCTTGAGCCTTGAAACAGGCAGGAGGGTTTGGCTTTGAGTCAATCCCCCCAAGAACATACTACCCACGTTGCTCACAGATTCTCCGACTCCATTTTTACCCAAAGAGCACGGAGGAGAGGAACGTGCTGGTGTTCCTCCATGGCTAGGGCCTTATGCCAAGAACACAGGGGGAGAGAGAGAGACCAACAAGCCTAGGCCACCGTGCAGCACAGGCTGTCGAGGAGACAGGCGAGCTAAAACAGAAACACTACCGGCTGTGACAAAGGCTCAGGCAGAGACTAGCAATGTGCATGGATGGAGACTCAGAGGGAAAAGCCTGATGTGGGCAGGTGGTCAGGGCGGGGCTGTCTGCACGTGTGACTTCAGTGTGACTGTGCAATTAGGAAGGGCTAGCATGTAGAGAGGGGATCAAAACAGTACACGCCAAGGGTCCGGGGCTGGGGGAAAGACAGTGGGTGTGGAGGTTAGAAAGGCCGTGGCTATCAGCTTGGCGGACTGTAACTCGGTGCTTAGGAGCAGCTGAGCTGGAGAGGGACTGACTTGGATCCCATGCTTCAGCACGGCTATGGATGGTGGCAGGCCTGGGGAATCGTTAAGATGTGACAGCAACCACTTGGATGTCCTCCATGTGCACCTAGGGCTCAAGGGAATGACTTCTAAAAAGTACAAGTTTAGGGACTGTAGACCCAGGTCCAAAGTGTCACATCCGAATATTTTCCTTGACTGTTGTAGAATGTGGTGTCGAAGTTACAAAAGCAAGAGAAGAGGGAGAGCAGGGGAGGGAGAGCAGGGGAGGGAGAGCAGGGGAGGGAGAGCAGGGGAGGGAGAGCAGGGGGGAGAGCAGGGGGGAGAGCAGGGGGGAGAGCAGGGGAGGGAGAGCAGGGAGGGAGAGCAGGGGGAGAGCAGGGGAGGGAGAGCAGGGGAGGGAGAGCAGGGGAGGGAGAGCAGGGGAGGGAGAGCAGGGGCGGGAGAGCAGGGGAGGGAGAGCAGGGGAGGGAGAGCAGGGGGGGAGAGCAGGGGAGGGAGAGCAGGGGGGGAGAGCAGGGGAGGGAGAGCGGGGGGGAGGGCAGGGGAGGGAGAGCAGGGGGGGAGAGCAGGGGAGGGAGAGCAGGGGAGGGAGAGCGGGGGAGAGCAGGGGAGGGAGAGCAGGGGAGGGAGAGCGGGGGGGGGGAGAGCAGGGGAGGGAGAGCAGGGGAGGGAGAGCAGGGGAGGGAGAGCGGGGGGGAGAGCAGGGGGGGAGAGCAGGGGGTAGTTGTTATAGAAACCCACACCTGCCATAGACAAGCAGTGAACCATGGGTCCTGGGAGAAACAGTAGAACTCCAGGAAGAGTCATCTCCAGTGTGGGTTCCCAGGCGCTCTGCCCTGCTCCCCCTCTCCCTTAGTCAAGGCATTACCAATGCTTTAACAAAGGCAGTCCCTCAATTAACCTTTGAACACAGGATAGGGACAGCGGGTCTGGGGTCACAGGGGAGCTAGCAGAGAGCACAAATGTCATCCAAGGAACAAGAAGCCAAGTACAGGCGCACCACTAAGGGCACTAGGGGCAGGCAGAGTTTTTTTTTTTTCCAAAAGAGCACACAAAAAGTCACGGTGAAATGCCCCTTTGTATATTATCCAAAAAGCTAGTAAAACAATTATAAATCATCTTCACATGTTTAACATTGGTTTATGGATGACAGGCGAACAATTTTATAGTCAGTCTTGTTCTTTCAGAAAGCACAGGTTTTTTTTAATTGAATGCAGTATTCTTTATATATTTACAAACGATCCTGTTAATTATGTTGTTTAAGTTTTCCATATTTTTTTAGTTTTTGGCAAGGGCACAAGAACATAATGCTAATTAAATCAATTGTGTAAAAACTTCTCAATATATGTAAAATTCTGTTGTCATGTAAAGTCAAAAGAAAAGCAAACACATGAAAAATGACTTGATAGTTAAGTGTCTTAGTTAGGGTTTCTAATGGCTGCAATGAAGACCATGACCAAAGAACAAGTACTAGGCTTACTCCTCAGTGTTGCTGTTCATCACTGAAGGAAGTCAGGACAGGAACTCAAAGCAGGGCAGGGACCTGGAGGCAGGAGCTGATGCAGAGGCCACGGAGGGGTGCTGCTTACTGGCTTTGCTTCCCCTGGCCTGCTCAGTCTGCTTTCTTACAGAACCCAGGACCTCCAGCCCAGAGACGGCACCACCCACCATGGGCTGGGCCCTCCACCACTGATCACTAAATGAGAAAATGTCTTAAAGCTGGACAGCGAGGAGGCATTTCCTCAACCGATGACTCTAGCTTGCGTCAAGTTGACCGGCAGAACCAACCAGTCCATGAACTGACGCGTTTCATTGATCCCATAATTGTCAAGAGGACAAGCCTGTGTCAGCAGCCTTTGCTCATGTGTAGGACACCCCTGTACGAGCATGGCAGCAGCATCACCCTCCCCCATCATTTTAGAGCTGAGTATCTTCTCCCAGAGAACAGGGATGGGAAACACACTACCGGTGGTGTTTGTGTTCTGAAGCAAGGCCAGCCTCAGTACCAACAACCAAGCAAAAGCAACAGGAAACCACGGTAATATGAAAGGCAGACCCACTTTTGAACTCGGTGTCCAGAAGGACTTAATGAAGCATCTGCCGGGGCCAAGACGACTTTCCCTCACCAACACCAGTTTCGTCCCGCTGCCAAGGGTTTATTAGTGTAATTCCCACGATCACAGATTAAAGAGAAAAAAAAAACTGCATGGCTATTTCAACAGAAGAGAAAAATCCTGACCAAAATGTCATAGCAAAGTGAGACTTGCAGGCTTTCCAGCATTCCATGAGCAGCGTCTTTAAGAAATCTCCAGCAAACATCACTCTCAAGGATGGGCCATCAGAGCCACCACCTTTTAAGTTAGGAAGAAGACAGTTATCCGCTATCAATTTACACCTCTATTTAACGTTGGCTAATTAACAAGAAAGAAGAACCAGTGATTAGAGGGAGATAATTAAGATTAGCATCACTCATAGATGCTGTGATTTTCCACACTGAAAAACTCCAAGCAGTCTACCGCTTATGAGAAACCAGGAGTTGGACAGCTTGGTAGATATAAGGTAAATTTACAAGCGTCCACTGCATCTCAACACAGCAGAAGAGGGAGAAGATGTGTTTAATAAGATGTAATGTGTGGAGTGCTTACAAAGCACCCAGGGGAAACCCCAGCAAGGGGTATGCAAAGAGAAAACCCGCATATTACAGGGCTCCTAGGACACACATGCGGTCTGAGAAATAACCCCCTCTCATAAATATGCAGGTTCTTATCTCTTAGTTAATTGAACCAAAGTTTCACGGAAATCCCCATCAAAGCTTTTGTAGCAGGCATTTCCAGTTTTCTATGGAAGAACAGAGGAGGGAGAGCTGGGCAGCTGGGCTGGGGAGAGCAGGTGGGGAGCCTGCCAGCATTTTATCCAGACTAAGCTCAAGAAGAGGCTGCTTCCCACAGACACCTGCAGGGTCGAGGCGGAATGACCAGAAACGTGTGGCATTTAGTACTTTTCCCATTGCTGTGACCAAATAGCTCAAGGGAAGCAACCGGAGGGAGAGACAGTTCATTCTGGGTCACCCGCTATCAGCCCTGACTTGCTCGTGGCTGGGAAGGTATGCTGTGTGAGGGACTCTGGGCTGTCTGCACATGTTTTAGCAGCCTAGGACGTGGGGAGAGAGGAATGAATGCTGGTGTGCCCCCCCCCCCGTTCGGTGTTGGCAGTCTGGCGGGAATGGTGTTGCAGCCAAGCGACACAGCCAGAGACCCTCGTCTCTGGTATCAGACTTCTATGTCAGATCCTCTCCCTGTCAGTTTTGGAAGGACAAAGGACATAGATGCACCAAAATCACGCACTTTAAGAGAAGTCTTAGATGTAAATGTAGTGGGAAATTCATATGACCTTGGGTTAAGGGGAGACTTCTGAAGTGAGACACAAAAACCCCAGTCTGTACGAAACATGATCGATCGCCGCCTCACTCTCAATTAGGGACTAATGTTTTTCTGGAGACATCACGATGGCGCCAATGGAAGGACGAGGTGCTTATCGGTGATGACAGTCACTGCATGCAGGTCCAGGTATGTGAACACCTCTGCAGAGTATAAGAAAATGCCAGCATGTCAGTGAGTGGGAGAACCCAACTGGGGAAAAAAAACACAGAAGAAAGAAGCACACTCAGCAACTAGGAACTGGTGGAGACCTACATTACGATCTTGGAAAGGAAGCGAAACCCCAACTGCAAAGCACAGCACCCTGAAACCCTCCGACAGAAACACTGGAGAATGGGCTGGGGAGATGACTCGATCCCCAGAACACGCGTAAAAGCTGTGTGTGCGTGTCTGTAACTCCAGCACTCGGGAAACAGGGAAATGTGGATTCTCCGGGGCTCACTGGCTGGCCAGCCTGGTGAATCAGTGAGCTCCAGGTTTAGTGAGAAACTCTTGTCCCATAAAATACAGTTAGGGCTGGAGAGATGGCTTAGCTTAGCAGTTAAGAACACTTACTGCTCTTCCAGCCGGGTGGTGGTGGTGCACACCTTTAATCCCAGCACTCGGGAGGCAGAGGCAGGCGGATCTCTGTGAGTTCGAGGCTGGGCTGGACCGATAGCCTCCAAAACAATACAGAGAAACCCTGTCTCATAAAACCAAAAAAAAAAAAAAAAAAAAAAAAGAACACTTACTGCTCTTCCCGAGGACCTGAGTCTGGTTCCCAGCACCCACAGTGGGAAGCTGTAACTCCAACTCCTGGGGACTTGATGACCTCTTCTGGCCTGTGTGGGTATCTGTGCACACATGTGAACGCATGCATATCACACACACACACACGCACACACACACACACACACACACACACACACTGAGGAGCACTATGTGAGGCAGGGAATTTAAGTCAAGCAGGAAGAGAGTCCACTCCACCATCACTGTTTGACGACCCCCAGATCCCCAGATGCTGGGTGCGAATGCCTGAGAGAGTGGTGTGGAAGTGCATAGCCATGATACCCAAGAAAAGCAAAAACTGGAGAGAAACCAACAGTCCATCAAGGGAAGGATGGCTAATGATAGTATTTATAGAGCAGAACTCTACACAGCAGTAAAAAGGAGCTGATAGCCTCTGGCCAGAGCCAAGTGAATATAAAATTTAAAAACTCCTAGTGCACTGTCCAGCCTGTTCCCACAGCCTCAGAAGCACCAGCGGGGAGGTTTGCTTCCCCCACGGGAGAAGGTGTTGAGGCATGGGGAGCTTCCAGTTTGCAGAAGGACTCTGGCCCTCCTGGGAGGCAAACCCAGGAGGTGGCTCCTGAGTCAGCCTGAGATCCTTTCCTACTCCACCTCTCTGGGCTGAAAGTAAAGATCCAATTCAGAAGGCAGGCGGTGTACGCCCATCCTCACAAACCAGACTCGGTGTGTGAGAGCGAGAGAGAGTTCACCTCAGGGCGGGGATGGGGCACAGGGGCTTCCAGTGGACTAAGGCTCTGTTACCATTTTTTGTTTGTTTGTTTGTTTTTTCTTTGCATGAAATCCTTTGAAACTGTCTCAAGCAAACAACAGACACAAAAACAACAGTCATGGGTCAAACAAGATTTCAGTTCAGCTTGGACCCTGGTCCTCGAGGCTTTGTTCCTGAGGCCTGGATAGCACTGTGGTCCAGATATTGCAGCTGTTGTTAGAGCCAGGGTGGGTTGGGTCCAGTAGTACCAAGATGTGGTCTCTAAACTTTAGTCTGAAGCACAGCGGGCTCCCATGCAGAGCTGCTACTCAGTCAACCGAGGCAGAGACTGAGCTCTGCATTTCTAGCAGTCTGGGCACGCTGAAATTAACAATGGGGGAGTGGGACTCTGCCTGGGGAAGCCCAGTCCCACCTGGGAGTAACCAAGATCAACATCCCTAGCTTTAAGGTATGCTCACTAGGAACAAGCTGTAGGCTGGCATCTCCTCCCAGCATCTCAGCGAAGCACGGTCATGCCCAGGGCAGGTGCACACATTTGCAGATATCGTTCAACATGGGCCTGCAAGCCAGGGAAAGGTCAGAAGAAGGGCAAGCCCCCCACTTCTTTGGCACCTCCCGCCTGACTATCATACACAGGCAGTACCTGGTAGAGGAAGAAACTGAGCCCCGCTTGACCAGGGATGACCAGGGAAGGAGCTTGAGCTCAAGCGGTGCCATGAATATTCATGGTCAGATCTCAGGGTGTGAAGAGTCCTCAGTGGACTCCGGGCATTAGCACTTGAGAGCCCTGTCTGCCGAGATCTACAGCAAGTGTCCCCAGCAGGCGTGTGCACAGGCTGCCCTGGGAGAGACGGCTTTTCCCAGACAGAGGCCTGCTGCGGACCGTAAACCCCAAATGAAGTCAGCAGAGGGGACCAGGGAAGAGAGGCTCGCCCAGCACACCTTGCTTCAGACAGGATGTTGGTTCGCGGTGATCCACCGGGAGGATGGAAGAAGCCATGCAAACTCCAGCTGGAGGCATTCACGGGCAAGGCTTCCGCGCCTGGCTTTCCAACCTCCTGGCCTGGAGGGGTGCTGGCTTCACCACACCACCCACTGATCCAACCCTCCCTGAGCGGCTCTGAGCACTGGCCTCATTTACCCCCTCAGAGGAGCACCGAATGAACCCTTGCTTTGGCACATACACAGGTACAGCTGCATCTGTGGTGGACACTGGTCCATCTCTGGCGGGTTCCATCTGCCTCACCCTTCAGCCACCCCAGGAAGCTTCGGTCCCTCGTGTTGGCTGTGTCCCACTTAGATAACACTTTGGGTGAGCCTAGAACCTCTTTGCAGCACTGGTGTTTTTGTTTGTGGTCAGTATGGGGCAGGGGTGGGGTGGAGGAATGGGGGAGCCAGATTCTCTCTTGCTTTTCAAAAGGCTGAAGTTCCCTCTGCGGCCCCCAAACCACAGCCTGGCACTTGGTAAGAAGATGTTCGGCACTATTTGTTGAACGAATAATTAGAGCTAATGAGTGAACTGAGGGATTGGAGGTAACCTTTGTCCAGCAGTGACCCTCAAAACCTCCAAAGTCATTGGCGAGAAACCCAAACTCTAAGGCTTAGGTGTGGTAGGTTCACCCATATCATGATAAATGGATATAGGAAGGAATCCCTATATCCCTTACGGCAACATCAGAATCCAAAGCTGTTCTTCAAGCTACAAGGGCCAAGCAACAGATGAGTGTGGGCGTGGTCAAGTGTGCAGACAGCCCCACTGTTCACATGGTTCAGCAAAGTCAGTAGAGGAGTCTCAGGGCTCCCACTCTACCGGCTACACTTTGCCCAGAACCTTCTTTTACGAGTAGCTGCTTGACTTCATGTGTCCTCCGGTCCTACTAATATTCCACCTGGGAAGATCACCTGAAGACCCTCACCCAGGGGCCCCACCCAGGAGCCCAACCCAGGAGCCACACTCAGAAGCTCGACTCCCAGAACCTTACCCCATCCCTTCGGCGGACACTGGCAGTGACCCAGGACTGACGCGTCCTCTCCTTAGGTGCTGGCTCCATTGCTAGCTCCCTGTTGAGCTCCCTTTGCATCCCAGACAAGCCCCCAATCTCCCTGCACCACTGATAACACACTTTCTTCCAAGACCCCCCCAGACCAACACCCCACGCATGTACCTCTCCAGGCCTGACACTTAACTGTGTCCTTTTCTTTAACTTCTTGTCCCAAATCTCCCCTTGCTCCCCTAGACTCGGTCCACTTGTGTCCCTCTGAAAGGCCTTGTCTGCTTTGCTGAAGGCAGCCTGTCCGCCGCCGCCAGCCCATCCCTCTCTACACAGTGGCTATCTTCTTCCTCAGCTCCTGTCACTGTGCGTTGCTAGCGTTGGGTTGGGCATCTGCTTGTGGCTCCCCCTCTCTGGCCCTGGAAAGTATGGCCTCTGTGAAGGCAGGTACATGGCTTTTTTGCCCTGTGCAGGATATCCAGGACTTAGAACAGTGCATGGACAAAGGAGAGGCAGCCAAAGGCTGGGCTGTCCCTGAGCAAGGCAGAGCCTCCCAAGGTTCCCTCTGCGGCCCCTGGACCCCCATGCCTGGGTCTGGAGACGATCAGTTGGTACTCCGGGAAATGGGGAGATGGGACTAATGGAACTTCCTCCTTGGCTTCAGAAAAATCTCTCTCTCTCTCTCTCTCTCTCTCTCTCTCTCTCTCTCTCTCTCTCTCTCTCTCTCTCTCTCTCCCCATGTACCCTGTGCTTGCCTTGCCTGTTTCTGTCAACTATTGTTTAGCTGATGCCCACTCAAGGAGGAGATAGGGTTGGTCAGCTTCATGCTCCACACTAGCCAGAAACTAATGTTATCCAGGGAGCACTCGCCATCTCGAAGACCAGACAGCAAACACACCAAGAAGATTAGAAGACAGAGGCCTGGGGACACGGACTGATTCGATTCGTGGGCTTTAGCAACTAGAGCCGCGTCCACACCCTAGATCCCAGAGGACGCTGTCTCCATGGATCCAGAAGGCCTGTGCTCCGTGTTTCTAGAGAGGGAAGGACTGCCTACAGGAGCTTCTCTCCAAACCTCACCCATCACCCTGTGCTGAGGCCACGGCTCCCCCAAACCCAACGTCGAGGACCATCTTCTCCACCCAGCTCGCAGGAAGCCTCGGGAATCAATAGGGACAGAAGGAGGGGCTGAGAAGCAGCCCAGACCACAGCTCACATTACTGTCCTCTGCCCCGGAAGCACACAGCAGTTTCCTCCACAGAACAGGTGTGTCCACTCTGCCACCCCTGTCTGTCCACACTCTGAAAAGACTCAGAACCCGCTCATCCCCTGACTGCAGGAGTGCCGGGCCCAGGTCTCTGCTTACAGATGAAGCCAGCATGCTCTATCCTGATCCTCTGGGCTCTCAAGCCGCACGTTCTGAATGCCCAGACAGAAGTTTGCCGCAGCAGTTTCTCCGGGGTCTTGTGGGCTCAGCCTATCTCTTGGGTTCAGTGAGAAGAGATGAAAAGTCTTTACGCCCCCCCCGCTCTCCTGTCAAGAGTCCCCGATGATTTCATCTTACATGATTATTTGCTGTTTGTTTCAGAAGGATTTGGTTTCTGCTCTCCTTCCTTCTAGGATTTGTACCTCCTGCTGATCTCACCTGGGTTTA